TCTATTCTATTCCTAATTCTATTCTATTCTATTCCTAATTCTATTCTATTCTATTCCTAATTCTATTCTATTCCTATTCTAAAATGGAAGTTGGAAAAATATGTTTTGAGATCCGATTTAGTCACCTGTATAAGAACCCGGACAGAAGGTAGCTTGTCTCCAGAACCCGAGACATCTTGCAGGTGTGGGCTGTCGTAACGGAACCTAAGAGAGCAGAATGGGGCTTGCAAATCTTCCATGACAATATAAAACCCAGAGCCAAGATTTATTTATTTAATAAAATAAAATCCGGTGACTCTCCTGAACGCCTTTTGCAGGTATCGACCTCTCAGCTCTCCAAGCCAGATAAGGTCTGTGACTGTAAATCCTCCCTTGAAAGATTTCGCTGGATGTGAATGAGCATAAATAGTGAATTAATAAAAGGGTATTTTTTTTTATCAGGACAAAGAGTTTGCTTCATGCTCTTGGGAAGCCTCGGTCAGAACAGATACACTGGCCTTTGAGCCAGGTTTACCTAGCAGCAGTACTTTGGAAACTGCTTCCCACAATTCCCTAGAACTCTGGGAGTGGTCTAAGGCATTTTGGGAAATCTCACTGGTCCTTAGCCAGCACTTATTAAACTAGCTGAGAACAGAAAGTATTATGTGCATGTTAATCATGACCTCAAAAGCAATAATCCCATGAGGATGCTGAATACTCTCGCTAGCAATGGAGAGGCCTTCAATGTTGCCCTGGGAAGGTCACCATCATTAAGCCCTTCTTAGCCAATGGTCAGGACCTACTTGAGGGCAGCCACATCTTGGGAGATGTTGATCTTGTCCGTCACCTCCTGTAGCTTCATTGTGTTCTGACGGGCCAAGTGCTCCAGAGCTGAAAGGATATGGGTGGGAGGATGGCTACCCACAACTTTCTGTAGGAAGACGCAAAACAACAGCTGAGATTGTCCTGGAGTCAACCTCTATGACAAACCTTTATTGCCACAGTTAGCAATATCCAGTGTCTGGACTAAAGAGCCATGGTGAAACATTGGTACTGCAAGCTACTTCTGCTGCCTGCCGGCTGCCTGCAATTTCACAGTTCAATTCTGATCAGGCTCAAGGTTGACTCGGCCTTCCATCCTTCCGAGGTGGGTAAAACGAAGACCCAGATTGTTGGGGGCAAGAGGCTGACTTTGTAAACAGCTTAGAGAGAGTTATAAAGCACTGTGAAGAGGTATAGAAGTCTAAGCACTATAGACTGCTTGTGCAAGTAATGGTTACTAAGAAATCAAGCGCAACCCCCAGAGCGGACTGGGCTAAAAATGTGGATTGTTTTGTCTGGAGCATAAAATAATCACCTCGATCCCTGCAGAGATTTATGACTATTATTATATCATTGTGGTTTATCATTATGAATTCTTCTTGCGTTGGATTTTAATCTTATGTTTGCTACTCAGAATATTCCCAACTCCCAGAATTCCCCCACCAGACTGAACTCTGGGAGTTGAAGTCCACCCACTTTTTCAAGTTGCCAACTTTGAGAAGTACGGATCTAAATGTTTCCACTGTATCTAGCAGCCTTGATAATGTCCGGTTAAGCATCCTACTGTTCTTAAGGAAGGCGCAAAGAGAAGGAGAGCCTTCTCTGTGGCTGCTCCGACCCTCTGGAANACAAACCCTACTCCCTTCTAGCACTGATGACGTTACCTAGTTCGGTCGTGAAACATCTGCAACAAAAAAAACCAAGCTCAGGGAGCACCAAAGAGGCCACAGCTGGGTGGTTTTCTGCAGATGTTTCATGACCCAACTAGGTAACGTCATCAGTGCTAGAAGGGAGAGGGTTGTGTACAGAGGAGGAAGAGGAGGAGGAGGAAGAGGCGTGTGGGGTCCTTCATGCTCTCTGACCTTAGTGGTTTTCTTGCAGACATTTTATGACCCAACTAGGGAACATCATCAGTGCTAGAAGGCAGTGGAGTTGGGGGAGGGGAGGAGAAGGAGGAGCCAGACTTATGACCATTACAGCATTTGCTCTCGGGTACATGATCAAAATTTGGGCACTTTGCAACTGACAATGGAATTATGACATCATCTGATACTGTCCCAGTCAGTTTCCCCCAGTTGGGGGTGGAAGGGGAAGAGCTGTGTTCACTTAATGACCACGTGATTCATTTAACAACTGCAGGGATTCAATCAACCGCTGTGGGACTGATTGGGGCAGACTGTAATACCGAAATGTAATTTTATCATATTTTATTTACCTAGTATTACGCTGGTGTATTTTACTCCAGTTGCATTTAAAATCGCCCTGTGTTCCAATTCCATTTCAAATTTGCAATTTCTCCAATTCCATTTTAAACTGTTCTTATTAGAGTTTAGTAACAGAGTTTAGTGTCCTGGAACTCTGCACTTTGATATGGCCCAAGGGCTAATCTATAAAATGAAATAACTAACTAACAACTGTGGGAGAAAAAGATTGTAAATTCGGGTGTAAACTCACTGCCTCGCTTTATCAATGAAATTGTGGTCGTAAATCGAGGATTGCCCATACTGGATCTTGGCAGGCCTGAGCAAACTCAACTCAGCACTTTACTCCAGGTTGAAAGATGCATCCAGGTTAGGAAAAATAATCTGGATTAAAAGCACAGCGAAAAGGGACAATCGTGAAGCCCAGGATACAGATTCGCCTCGATTTACGGCCACGACTGAACCCAAAAATTTATTCAGCTAAGCCAGAGAGTGGTTAAGTGAGTCATGCCCCATTTTACGACCATTCTGGCTACAGTTGTTACGTCAATCACTGCAGTTGTTAAGTAAGTCACACGGTCGTTCAGTGAATCTGACTTTTCGGGTCAGATGGGGATCACGTGAACCCCGGGACGTTACGACCGTCGTAATTATGAGTCAGATGTGCCAGGCAACAGAATGGTCGTAAGTGTGAAAAAGGGTCATTTTTTTTCGGTACCGTTGTAACTTCAGCCACTAAACGAATGGTTGAAAACCAAAGCCTTCCCTTATAGCAAAATCAGTAAAAAGAATAATATTTTTTTTTAAATTATGAATGAGCTTGTGCAACCTTTTGCCAATTACCCATAATTTGTTTCCATGATGGTTTGTTAAACCCACTTTATGGTTTTCTCGCTCATCAAACATTATAAATAGTCCCTGAGTTGTTGTTGGTGGTGTGTTTTTTTGTTCTTTTTTGCAATGGTCTCTTATATTTTAATTAGCTTTTTTTCCGTGATAAAAAGATCCAGCTTCCGTCCTACATTTTCTAAATGTCAAGAGGTGTTTTTGTGGGCCCTTTTTTTCCCCTTTTCAAAATATCCAAAGCTAATATCCACCTAAGAGTAAATAATTAGGGGTCTTTGCAGCCTGTAGTTGTTTCTCTGGTGTTAGAACTAAATTCAGTTTCATCCATTCAACTATTATGGGCTGAAATCGGCAGGGCTTTTAAATGCAATTTTGTCTATTTGCAAGGGGATTTTTTTAAATTTATTTTTAAAACCACACTTTTCTGGATGTCTTGCCGGAAACATAATTTTTTCTAGAGGAAAAAAACCCCAGTGTTTATATATATATATATATATATATA